TATTTTTTTTTTTTTTTTTTACAGGAATCATTGGGATCAGTCCAGACTGGTGACATCCAGACATATTGCGCAAAGATATTTCACCTCAATTTGCAAATATTAAATGCACAGTTTTATTGATTTGTTTTCTCTAAACTGACTCAAACTCTTATATTAGCTAATGTATGTAACATTTCCAAAGACATTCTAGTAATGCTAGTAGAAGCAAATGAATTATTAGCTAGATCAATTGTTCAATATTTAATTTCTCTATATTTTTGATTGTTCCAGCATGACCCTACATAGGACAATAGATATTTTATTATTATCATATTTATTTATTTATCTCTCATATGATCTTGAAAAAATAATGTAGCTAAATGCACATTTGGTTAATTTTAGATTAGATAACACATTGCTTAAAATTTATTTCTTTTAGGGCTTGCACCTTGGTATTAAGTACCCTGGAGTAGGTACCACCAGTTCAGTGTTTAAACCATATCAGAAAATGTGGTCCTTATTCCGTTTGCCAATAATTGTGAACAACAACAAAAATGACACAGCAGAGTGTCTCGTCACTTAATTATTCAGCTCCTTCTTTGACTGGCTGGTTTCAGTTCCACTGACTCAGCATTATTATGCGCTGATCGTATATAAGATGATGATCATTTCACTCACAGCTTCAAGAAGATCTAAAAGAGGTTCTTGCTTCAACAGTGATTGAACGGAACTTAGATCTCATCGAAATGTCATATTTTTTACGTTTTTTATAATAAAACTATAGAACCCGCCGAAATGGAGACATCTCAGGTTCGCCAGAACTACGACCGCGACTGCGAGGCTTTGATCAACAAGATGATCAGTTTGGAGCTTTACGCTGGATACACATACACGTCCATGGCAAGTGTTTCTTTCTTTTGTTCATCTCTCTTCCAAATCACATATTTTCATTAATAATCTTATTCTCGGTCATTTCTCAGTGCTGCATTATATCTTGACTTATTATGTGTAAATATTGTATAGCCTGTTTATTTATATTCAACCCTATGTTCTAAACTTCATTTTGTTCTTCTTCTTCAGTTTTTTTGGCGTGTTACATCCTGTGTGCATATCGCCACCTACTTTTGCTGTTATGCAGTCATGGTTTATTTATTATCAATTTCTTCCTTGTTTTTGCTTTTCCTATTCTTACACACGTATATACACAAATATTCAATTATTCGATGCTCCATCCCATTCCTTCTCCCCAGGCTCCACCTGGCGCTGCGTGTTCAGCTCCTCCAGACTAAATCCGTGGTCTCCTAAAGATCCAGAATAGAATAGAGCATCCGCATTGTATATTTAAATCCTTTCACTTAATCCAGTAGTATATATGTATTTTATTAATATCCTATATCCTTCTCTATCTCTGTTAAAGTCATATCCTAATAAGTATTCCAAATCCTTATTTACCTTACCTTTTTTTGTTTAAATATGATACTTGATTTTGTTACTTTCAGGCTCACTACTTCAAACGGGATGACGTCGCCCTTCCTGGATTTGCCAAGTTCTTCAAGAAGAACAGTGAGGAGGAGCGCAAGCATGCTGAGAAATTCATGGAGTTCCAGAACAAGAGGGGTGGACGCATCGTCCTTCAGAATGTCAAGGTGTGTTGACAGTGTTTTGAACAGTCTTTTGTTATGGAAAGACCTTACGCATATGTGTATTTTGCTCACTGTTCTGATTGTATCTCTCTTCAGAAACCAGAGCGTGATGCATGGGACAATGGACTGACTGCTATGCAGTGCGCTCTTCAGCTGGAGAAGAACGTCAACCAGGCTCTGCTGGACCTGCATAAGGTTGCCTCTCAAAAGGGAGACCCTCATGTGAGTTCTGAAGATTTACCTTCAGACATGAAAAAGACACCTCTCTGAAAAAGCAATAAGAAAAGTGCAAGTCATAGTAATATAATAAGTAACTTGGGGTAGTTGGGGTTGAAGCTGTAATTTATTCTAAGCCTTCATATACATGGCTCTGTCAAGTATTGTCATCCATTTTGGGTTGTTGCATGTTATTTTCCTAAATTCTGTTCTGATCTCTTGTCTAACAGCTGTGTGACTTCCTGGAGACTCACTACTTGGATGAGCAGGTTGAGGCCATCAAGAAGCTTGGTGACCACATCACCAACCTTACCAAGATGGATGCTGGCAACAACAGGATGGCAGAGTATCTGTTTGACAAGCACACCCTGGATGGCGACAGCAGCTAAATGCAGCCCTCTGATCATTAGCATGCTTCAAAGTGCTTTTAAATCACTTTTAAATCCGGTTTTAAGAGCACATTATGTTTTCATGACACGGCTCATATACAGAATTGTACATTTTAAACAACTGAAAGGTTTAACAGGTAAAGGTCGATGCAATCTTGTTATAGCCAAGCCATTGCTTTCCTGTTAAATGTACACTAATTGGTCTTAACCTGGTGTATTTGAGGAATAAACATTTTGGACTGGATTGACTTGTATTTTTATTCAAAATTGTGAGATTTGGTTGTAGGCTATATGTAACCCTTTATTAACTTATATCTAAAGTTTACATATATAATTTATGAGTAATGAATCATAAATCATATTTTGATGGTCTCTGTGAGGGATTTTAAATGTAAACTAATTATTTTAAGAGAAAGACTGTGATTAATTGGTGACCCATTTTGTCTACACAATTTTTTTTTTTTTTAATTAAGTTAAGAGTTTCTTAGAGTTAGAAACTTAGAGTTTCTATTTTGTGTATAGTGCTGAAAAGTGGTGCTCATGGTTAAGTTGTGGTTGATTATACCTGAAGGTAAACACATCGACTCTATGAGCAATGACTGTGCTAATGCCAAGTAATTTCTGATTTGTTCATTAAATGTACATGCTAAATAAGTTATATTAAAGGGTTAGTTCACCAAAAAATTTAAATTAGGCAGTGTTTTACTCACCCCTGAGGCATCCTATGTGTATTTGTCTTTCTTTTTTCAGACGAATCCAGTCAGAGTTATATTAAAAATTGTCTTTGATCTTTCAAGCTGTTTAATGCCACTCAGCGGGTGTTGCATTGCTTCAGTCCAAAAGAACTTAAATAAACATCGCCCATCCATAAAAAAAAAGTGTCTCACACGGCTCCGGGGTGTGAACAAAGGCCTTCTGTAGTGAATCGATGCGTATCGTATGACGTATGAGTTCAGCGTTGCGCATGCGCAGGTGAGTCTCGTGAAAACCAATGTTTGTTTACAGGATCAAAGGAA